CATAACACTAGAAGCCACACAGGTACAAGGACCACAAAGAAGCATGAAAGCATTGACCATCCGTCGAAGGAGCTTGCAACTTCTGAGAGCAAACATGTCAAAAAAAAAAACTTCTGAGAGCAAAGACCACGACAACAGAAGCACAAGTCTTCCATTATGGCCGCTTCCACTGACCCAAAGTGACCCAACTTTCACGAGCACGAGAGCCAGGCGAAGACGGCTAATCCAACCATAGTATTTATTCAGAGACCTCGACATTTGATCCGTATCTAGATCCACAAGAGATCTCTCTAGGAAAAAGAAAGGTCCACAAGAAAATCATTTTTGCTCCCAACTTGGATCCACGAGCAATCTTTTGGTTTGTCTAAACTCAACGAAAGGGGACCTATACATGCATGGCGTGGTTTCGGTATGGACCATCAGGAGTTCAGGACCACCATGCATTGAATCCAAAACATGCATGAATGGGCATCCGTACTCGATCTACCATCCAGACATCGAATTGGGCACACAGGACAGGAGGCATTATCCACATTCAGAAACTCGAAACTGAATTATGCAGCATGAAGCTCGTACCTCTTGAGGCGCTTGTGCTCCTTGTCGGCCGGGGTGCGTCCGCGGCGACGCGCGCTGCCTTGCGCGGTGGAGGACTGGGCGCGCTCCGGCCCGTCGGCTTCCCTCCTGCCGGACGTGGACGCGCCGCTTGGCCCCAGGCCCAGCTCCGGCACCGTACCTATTTCGTCGTCGCTCTCCATCCCTGCAGTCCAACGAAGCTCAGCTTAGCTCAGTTCACCAATCTAGTTCCTTTGGAGATACCGGTCTTTCTGCAAACTCAAACGCTCGGCAGGAATGAATGCAAAGCTTCTTTCCTCAAAATGCGCAGTTAAAGACGACGTGAAATTCGACCCAAAATTCTAGAAAAGTATAGAACATCTCTGGCAAGTGACCAAGATGATCAGAGCTTTCGGAGGCCCGGCCGAATGAACGCCAATCAGAAGGCACAGCGCACAAGAGCTTCGTTTCAAGAACCGATCGAGCTAAAACAGCATTACAGCAGGAGAGAATTGAAGTTCTAGAGCTTGCCTTCCTTGTGCCCCATGTGGTTGCCGGAGCTGGACGACCTGTCGCTGCTCGAAGGCCGCGAGCTCTCCCCCTGTTCCTGCATTCTCTCCCCGCCTCTCTCGTTCCTCCCAATCCCGAGGAAGACGAGGCTACCTCTGCTCCTCTCTTCCTATCTTCCTCCTCCCAGCTGCTTGCTTGTATGGAGTATGGACCATGAGAACTATTTTGTCTTAAGGCGGCACAAAGCGCAGGTAATTCACGGATCAGCCCCTGCAAAGCCCCGTGCGTTTCATACAAGCACCCGCCAATTTACATTGCAGTCCCTGCACAGCGTAGTCGCGGCAGGAAAGAGGCTCAAACGGGGATTCCGCGGCGCGGAACGGGGTTCAATGTAAGACGCGGCTTCGGGAGACGTCATTTATTGGCCCGAAAGTTCCATGGGGGTTTGGGTTTTAGCGGGGCGATCCCAGCCACCCAAGCCGCGAGGATCGCACGGCTGTGAACCGCAGGTCGTGGCTGCCCTGGAGACCACCCGCCCGGAGTCGCGATCCACAGGCGCGGAGACCCGCTACGTGGAGGCGCTGAGGCCCTTCCGCTTCGCCTGCCACACTGACGCGCGGGCCATCGTGCCCGTGGTCCTACCCGTCAGTGAGCTGTCTCGATGTATCGTGGCGCTTTCGCCCGAGGCCGCCGCGCGCGTGCACGTTTGCTCGGGGCTCGCTGGCGCCTCGTTGGCCACGCAGAAAAAGAAGCGAAATATCTATCGCACGGACGCAGGTGGTGGTGCCTTTTCGGTATCGCCGTCGTGGAAGTAATGCTCTCCGGAAGCTCATCGGGTCACAACGGCAGCGCGATCATCGTCCAGCCAGATATTCCATACTCGAATCGATAGGAGTACTAGTAGTACTTGATGCGCATCTTTGCGAAGGAGGAGAAATTTTAACTTTGTCGATTAGCTAAGGCGGGTCATAGTGGGGAGTAACTTATGTTAGTGTCATACATATGACACTAGTATAAGTTACTATCTTCATGATGCAAAGTAACATAGTATTAGACTAGCCACAATAAAGAGTAACATATACTAGTACTTCCTACATTTCACAATGTAGTGCTTCCTCTATATCCGTGCTTCAACTTTGACCGTAAATTTAACTATTAAGACCGATTGCGGCGGGAGTAAACGTTATATTAGTGAATTCATAATCGAGAGAAGTTTTTAATTATGTAATTTTTTCTCCCGCCGCAGTCGGTCTCGTTCGCTTAATTTATGGTCAAAGTTCGACCTCGGAAAACGCGGGCGCACTATATTATGAAACGGAGGGAGTGACATATACGTATCCCTAGACTATGTTACTATCTTCATAGTGGGTAGTAACTTAAGTGTGGTAACATGTAAGGATCCATTTATTAGTTTATAGACTCATATTGCATTGGGACATGTGATGTTACAATAACTAGCTAAGTTACTACAACTACCTCTCTCCTCATTAACTCATTGCCACATAAGTAAATTTGCTGAGTTGGACTCAATGTTACTGCTGAAGTTACTCCCACTGTGACTAGTCTTAGGTGGTGTTTGGTTCTCTAGTCCTAGGACTTTTTTTAGTCCCAACTAAAAAGTCCCTAGTCCCTAAAAAGTCCATCCCTATTTGTTTCCAGAGACTAAAAAGTCCCTAGTCCCTTCCTAAAGGTTATTAAATGACCATGTTGCCTCTAGTATATAGAAAAATAACAACCAAACAACATCATGGGGTGGCGGGCCAATGAGTGCATGGAGGGGCATTGTTGGAAAAGTCCCCAAAAGACTCTCAAAGAGAGTCTTCTTCATTTAGTCTCAAATGTCTAGTTTAGTCCCTAAAAAGTCCCTCCTGTTTGGTTAAAAAGTCTCTAAGAGGGACTTTTTCTAGTCCCTACTCAAAAAAGTTCCTAGAAACAAACACCCCCTTAGTGTCATAGATGACTTCATTTATTAGCTTGTAGACTCATCTTGTATTGGGAAGCGCTATGTTACAGTAACATATTATGTTACTACTTCTTATTAACTACTTGTCACATAAGCAAAATTTTCATGAAGTGCACTATGTTATTAGCTAAGTTACTCCCACTATGACTAGTCTAAGGGCAGGGCAGTGAAGGCTGGTTAAACTCAAGCACTTGTATCGCATAGTCAAGCTATGGGAAGGGCATCACAAACGCTGACCCACAAATTTGTTGCATCGGTCCACAGACACAGGGAGTCAGTCATTCAATGTTGCATGCATACATTTGAATCATTGTTTGAATTAACTGGACAAAATTCATGCAAATACGACAAATTTCGAGCATGATTGGTTTGATATCAATATTTGGCATTGCCAATATTTGGCACGCCTCATTTGACAGAATCATAAGTTGTCAAATATGACAACTTTTTGTGAGGTTGATAAAAAAATTGGTAGCCAATCAATCACTAGTGGTACTCCCTCTGTAAACTAATATACCAAAAAATGGGAGTATTTACCAAATATTGCATGCCAATTTTTGACATCGAATCAATCATGCTTTCATATAAATCTGACGAAATCCATTACATTTTGAATATTTTTCATATAACCAGACGAAATTCATTACATTTCTCATATAAACCAGACTAAACCTTATTCTAAACCTAATCTAAATGATCGTCCGCGCTTGTTCCCCATGTCCGGCCTTCAGCCCCGAGAACTGAAGCTCTGACTATTGCCTTTGTCTTCTCTAGTTCCGCCTTTGTAACCTCCGCCTCACGAGCCCCGGGCATCGTCACCATCCGTCTACTAGTCGGGCTGCCAGACGACAGCAATGGCGGCCATCTCCTTCTTCTGCTCTGAGGAGAGGGTGTCCTAGAGGGCTTTGGAGCGCGATGAGGCCATGGCAGGCATGGTACGGAGAGGAGAAAGGGATCGAAGGAGGATGACTGCGGCTATGGATGGGCCGGGCTGGAGTTTATATAGCGGGCAGATGGCAATGCGTGTGCAGCGGTGTGCTTAATGGTGGGCGGCGGACTGGTGGTGCCGGAGTAGGTTCCTCGGCACATGCGCGGGTTTAGTGGAGGAAGGTGAGAAGTCTATAGCCATTTCAATGAGATGAGGAGGCGTGTTCAGTCAGGCGTGTAGCGGGCGACGCTCTCTCGGGCGCCGCTTCAATGCCGACAGTGAGAGGTCGCGCCCATTCTGCGTCGGCGTTAATGCGGAGCGGCACTCTATAGCGGCATAAATGCGGGCAACTGGTGTCGGGCGTGGGGGGTAATGGTGGGCCAGGGTAGTCAAAAGTGGGCGTGGCAGCGGTGCAGACTCCCGCAAAGCCCCCCTAGTTTGTCTCTAGTTTGCAGGGAAAACTGTGTCCGGACCACCGAGCGGACCGATACATGCCCGTGTTGGATGACACAACACGTCCAGACCGCGCGGTCCAGACAGTTGCAGTGGTTTGAGGCTGACGCCCAAACCCTACACCGCATCCATCCTTGGATCGAGGGACTAGTCCACGGACACGGGTACAGGAGCCGGCCATCCAACGCTAGCCCCTAAATGCCGCCAGTAAGGTTAATTTGAAATTCAAATCTGTCTCATCACATAGCACGACCCGGATCACATCCCTCATTACAACCAAAAAGAGGCAAGGCTGCATAGTTTTTACATACCCGGTCACAAAAGGAATATCGTCCAGCAGTCCATGCAAAAAATGGATTTTCTGCTCTGCTGGACCGGCAATCCTAGCCTCCACGCTCAACCTGTCTTCTCTGCCTCTGCCTCTGCCTTCACCTCTTCCTTCTACCGCTTTAACATTTTGAAACTGATGGCTTGCATGATCCTCCTTGCATCGGCATCTAAATCCTCCATCTTTAAGGTCAACATCTTCGCACCCTCCAAAGTGGCTGCATCTCAACCATCTTCTCTTCGAGCATGGTCTTCTTATCTTCAAGCTTGAGCTTCTTCTCGGTCGCCGCTATCAACGTGTTAAATCTCTCTACCTTTTTCCCCTTGACATCGGAATGCTTGACGTGTGCCTCCTCTTTCTTGGACAAGATGTCCTTGAATCTTTCCATCATCTTGGTCGCCGCCCCTTCTCGCATCGCCCTCTCCTCCTCCCGCTTTCTTTCCCCGGAACCCTCTTCTAACCTTCTTGAGCGGTTCTTTTGTTAGGTCAGTTGGATCACCGGTTTATTCCTCAGTTCCATGAGCGACGATCTTGGCAATGTATAGATTATGTTAAGCTTCATGCACTAGCCAATGCAAACCAGAAGTCTGAACTGATGGAAAGGGTTAGGCAATCCACATATACACTTCAACACCCCCTCTCATGTGTGACGCGAGAAGTCAACACATGGATAGACTCAGTTGTATGGATCAAGAGGCCTATACATGGACACAAAGGGGGGTCAACAATTTTTACATAAATTGTGAAATCCAGGACTTGAACTCAAGACCTTAACTCTGATACCATCTTAAGCTTCATGCACTAGCCAACGCAACCAAAAGTCCGAAGTGATGGAAAGGGCTAGGCAATCCACATATACACATCAACAGATTCCACTTGGATTGTCCATTCAACTTCAACCAACAATGCATGGTAAAGTTCTTCTCCATCTTCAAGAACACACTACACACACGAGAATGCTACAAATAAAACATTGTCAATAATGAATATCCGGGCAAATGATCTACAAAAAATGCATATTCGACCAAATGATCTACAAAACAATGCATATCTGATCAAATGGTGTACAAAACAATGCATATCCGGCCAAGTGATGAACTTACTTGCTCGGTGGTTTGCGCACCACTTGGCCACCGTGCGATGAGTTGCCTCAAGTGGTCGCAACACATCAACACGGCCTATTGGATGATGTACCATCGATGGTTGAGAGACTTTGCGCCATAGTTGTGATGCCCCCGATTCAATCGTACACTAATCATACACGCAAACGTGTACGATCAAGATCAAGGACCCACGGGAAGATATCGTAACACAACTCTACAAATAAAAAAAGTCATACAAGCATCATATTACAAGACAGGGGCCTCGAGGGCTCGAATACAAGAGCTCGATCATAGATGAGTCAGCGGAAGTAACAATATCTGAGTACAG